CCCATTTGTACAACTCCAGTAAAAAGAAAGAGGAATAGGGAATTATAAGGAGGTAAATAATAAAAATAAAAAAAAATAAAAAATCTCTATTTTTCTAGCTTCTCTTCAATTTTTAAGTTAATTATGTTTTTTTATTGTTGTGATCGATATTAGTTATCAAAAGAAATATATATAATTTTTTCAATAGTAGATTCAATTACCTTGAGTCATGCCTGTATTTTCGATTACATGTTTATGTAGCAAAAGCATTGCAGTTAAATTTAGGGATTAGTGAAGATAATGAAGAAATGCAATGGTAAATAGAAACAGGACTGAATTATATATGTATGTGTGCATATATGCGTATGGTTGTTTGTATTTATATTATAAATTTCTAACTAAGTGCATACATCATGACAAAGTTCATATCCCATTAATTACCGAAAAAAAAAAAAAAAAGTTCATATCCCATGCTGATAGTGATTGACCTTCTATTTGACAATGTTTTTTGCCATTTAATATTTTCATAAATTACAAGTTATATTAGTAAAATTGTGACAAGCTTGGATAGCTATATGGACGCTAGAAATTACTTCTCATTCTCTTCCCACATAAAGACCCTTTAAAATTTAATTGTAAATTCCTTGTGTGGTCGCTTTTTTCCTTCCCCCTAGCTCCTTTGTATATTTTATTTATTTATTTATTTTTTTTTGTGAAGCTTACTTTTACTTTTTCTATCATGTCCAAACAGGGATAACAACTCGAGATACTGGCAAGTATGCACGGAGCTACATCCGCCCCCACTAATTTTTTATATATTAAATACATACCTCAATTGAATTTTTGGTAAAGCTCATCTATTTTGGTAGTTTGAATATTTTTTTTTAGTCTTATTATTTTGCTGTCGTTTAAAGTTGTCCTCCTCAAAATAGTTTTCTCACTGATTATTTGCTTGAATAATAGGGACCTCAAGAATTAGCCGAGCAACGTTGAGTGTTGGGTTAGCTTTATGTTTCATTTATCTCTATATTATGCAGTAATGATATTGTGAAGCACTCCAAGCCATTCGCCTTTATTCTCTTGCTTTTATAATGGTTTAAATGTATTTGAACATGTCGATATTTTGACATTGATACTTCCCAAATCATGAATAAAAAACAAGCTTTAGATTTGACTACTTTCAAGTGCGTTTGTTTGTTCTTTAATTGCAGTAAATATATCATTTTCTTAATTGGAAAAAATTTACTACTAAGTTGTAGTTACAAATGGTGAAAGCTATGTTGTTTCATGCTAAGGAAAAGGACTTGGCAGTAAGTTCCATATATCTGTTGGTTTTTGTTCTGATACCACTTTATTGGAAATAGTGAACGGGCTAGAGACACACACAACACAATAATATGAAAGAGGAACTGAGGAAAGGAACACTTAGAAATATATTATATATAGAATACAAAATTTAAGACATAATTTTAGAAAAATAAAAATAAAAATTAGGAGGGGTGGTTGATTATATGAATTTTTTCATATATACATGTAAAAATACATAAATTTACTATATATATTATAGTAAGCAGGGCAGGCAGGGGGGCACGTGCCCCCCGGGCATACACTGGCTCCATCCCTGTATGTGAAGGCAAAAATCAGATTTTGATAATGAAATTATAGAGCTTTGCTCTCCGTTTATCCAACTCATTTCTTGGTTGTGACTTCTTGTTTCGATATTCTTCTTCTTCCCTCTTTATCCATCCGCACCATTTGGTATCAGAGCTTGTATGCTCTCGGGCCGACTTCCATTGTTCTTGTTTTATAGTGGCTACGAGAGGTAGAGGAAGAAATGGCAACCGTATGATGGGAGATTTGAGAGATGAAAGAGATAAAGAACTCCAAGCACTTCGAAGACAATTTGAGCAACTTACCTTGCGGCCTGGATGCCAAGAAGCTCATCTCGAGCATGGTAGATCAAGTCGTGGGTCTTCTAGTGACGAGTCTTATGAGAACCCTTTTGCAAATCGTGTCGAGCCATGGTTGGGAAGGTTCTATCATGATTCCGACAATGTGGAAATTGATTTACCGGAGTTCCATGGTCGTCTTCAGCCCGACGAGTTTCTTGATTGGCTTAGTGCCATTGAGAAATTCTTTAGTTACAAAGAAACACTTGAGAATCAAAAGGTGAAGCTTATGGCAACAAGGTTTTGAGGTTATGTTTCGGCATGGTGGAACAAAGTTTAAGAGAGGAGGATTCGCAAGGGAAAGCCTAAAATTACTTCTTGGAAGAAAATGAAATCTAGGCTTAAGGAGAAATTTCCACCTTTGGATTTTGCACAAATTTATTATTATAATAATAATTATTATTATTTTTTTCACTTTAACAACCATCGTCAAGATTCAAAAAGTGTGCTAGATTACGCCGAAGAGTTTTACAAACTCATGGCCCGAAATGTTATTCAAGAAACCGAAGAACAACTTGTTGCAAGATATATTGGTACGTGGGTTAAAAATCCCAATTCATGATGAAGTAGAAATCCATCCAGTATGGAGGGTTAATGATGCTTACCAATTAGCTTTGAAAGTTGAGGTTAAACTTGCTTGTAGTGGTGTTACAAAGTTTGTGGATGTTCATAGCCTTTATCTTCCTTCAAAATTTAAGAAGTATTTTTGAAAAGATTGATTTATTTTGTTTTGACTTCTTAAATTAGACAAGTATTTTGTAACATCCTAAAATAGAAAATATGGACAACTAATATGAAATGGAGGGAGTACTAAATAGGGGAATTTATTTAAGGTCCAAAACAATTATGCTATATTTGGCGACACTAAATAAGCACATTGAATTTGGAATTGAAAAAAATTTAATACAAAATTTAAATTAAACTTACTCCAATCCAAATCAAAAGCAGTCAGTTACATTACATGCACCCATATCTCTCACCAACATTTTTACATAAATTACACTAACCTCTCCTGAGGTTTGGGCAAATCTCACACAAGTGGAGTGTTTAAAATTTATTACTTTGACCTCCCTTGAGGTTTGGGTGTATGCTCAACAACCTCCCCTCTCTATCAAAACTTGTAAAAAAATTTCATAAAATGACCGAGTTGCCCTTACACATATTTTTATTTATTTACAAGATTTTTTTTTTTAAGAGAGAGTAACTGTGGTGGAGAGGAGAAAAAAATTAATAAGAGAGATTAGATAGAATAATTGATTTTTTTAGATTTTAAAATATATTTTGTATTATAAAAATAAATTACATATATAAGGGTATAATTGACTTTTTAAAGTCTTAAGGGAGGTTAAAGTAATAAATCTTAAACGCTCCACCTATATGAAATTTGCCCAAACGTCAAGAAAGGTAAGTATAATTTATACAAAAAAAAAAAAAAAAAAAAAAAAAAAAAAAAACATATACGAGAACATTTCATCTTAATCAATAATCTACTATTTCTTCGTCAAATACATGAAGTATTAACAATTAATCATTGATCAACTATTTATTAGTAGTAAATTGCAAGTAATATGCATAATCTCACAAAGGAGACATACATATCATCATTAGTTGTCGATACAAATTTTTTTAGGGAATTCATAAACAACCCTCAAACATATAGCCACAATTATGAAGTTTACCGTCCCCTCCAATATCCAAATGGAAATGAATTCAACCTCACACTCCTTCAAGAAATTTCAAATCACCTGCAAATAAACCGTAAGCATTTATGGCATTCAAAGTTTGTTCATAAATTGGTTGCATTAAATTGTCTAATTTTACAAAAGAAAAACAGAATTGCAAAAAATATAATCTACACTTTTGTGTTGGAAGCTGCATGTGCTTTTATCAAAAGCTTAAGGCTCCGTTTGGTTAGATGGAAATAGTAAGAAAATAAATGAAATGAAAAATGAAAAGAAAAGTGAGGTGGATGAAAAGAAAATTGATTTTCTAGTATGTAATTGGTTAAGATGAAAATTTATCCAAGAAAATTGTAGAAAAATATCATGTTATAATTTAGATAGCTAAATCGTCCTTATTTTATAAAAATGGTAAAATAATAAAAAAATTAATAGTAGTATGTATATATAAAAAAAAAATGATGGAGTTTTCAATTTATTTAAACTTTGTAAACTACTATTTATTTCATTCACAAATGTTGGAAAGCAACTAAAAATAAAAGTCAAGTTAATTAAAACCCTATCAATGATAAAGTTGTTGTTGGACAACAATTTTTTGAAACCCATTAAAAAAAATAAAATAGGGTTGTTCTGTAAAATAATATTGTTGGATAAAAAAGGAACACAAAATAAAAAGATATTGCTTTCACGTGAAAATAAAATTTCCTCATGTTTTATGGAGGAAACGTTTTGAGGAAAATAAAGGGTTACGGGAATCTTAATTTTTAAGAACTTTTCCTTTTCTATCTAACCAAATTCTTAAAAAATTTCAAAATTTTCTATTTCCTTTCTTTTCTTGTTGATTCTATCTAACCAAACGAAGCCTAATGGATAAAAAGCAAGGACCCAATGCATGTCCTCTCAGGTTTCCAAATTCCTTTTCCCATCCGTATAGTACATTCCACTTGGAAGCATCCCAGTTGCTGATGGAATTGCCTACAACAACTGCCCCATCATAATACTATGTAAATAAAGCACCTCTTTGTAAATTTAAAACCTTGTTCAACACAAAACTCAAACAACATTTAATTTAATTCAATTTCTTTTATCTTTTACATTTAAGCAATGTCCTTTCAATATATTTAATTTAATTCTACACTTTCCATACATCATTTCCATGACTTTTTTTTTTCAAAGTCTAGCACTTTCAATTCCTTTCCTTTTAGCCATAAGAAAAGTCCTTCATCAAAGGTAAATATAAACTTTAGAGTTGGTCATTCTAGGCCTCTTCTTAGGATCTTACAATTTTCTTTCTGAATATTATTTGGTTACTTTAACCCAGGGCCGGCCCTGGCCCAAGGCGACCAAGGCGGTCGCCTTGGGCCTCAAATTTTGAGGTCCATAGAGGATGGAA